AGCATCTGCACGCTCTCATGCAAGCATCACCGCGGTCACCTGCGTCAAGGCACTTGGAAACCTGTCAAGGCAACAAGTGCTGTGAGGGTGCACTTGCAGCAGAACTGCAGTTCTCTATGCCTGTCACCCCCTCGGCTTCGGGCATTCTAGTCTCTCGCTTCCCCTTTCGGCCTTGCAGCCTGTGTTCTCTTCACCGCTACAGTCTTGGGGCTACCAAGTTCCCGCCTCCGAAGAGCACGGCTCAGGAGACCTGGGGTCAGGTCAGCCCAGCTCTCCCAGCTCCGGACCAGTTGGGGTGGTCATCCCGGGACCCCTGCAAGCAACAAGAATGACTCGGCAGGGTGTGGGGCTGGGCCTGAGGCCCTGCAGTGCAAAGTGGCCGCACAGCATCATCTTAAAGACCCAAACAAGCGAACAAACGAGTATTTTATTCAAGTCAGCCTCGGCCCATTGGCACCAGTCTGGCTGCCTGTGCCACCACAGGCCGCACATTCAGCCTAACTGGGCGGCCCGGAGGCCCTGCAATCAGAAAACGCCCAGGGCCTCTCCCAAAGGCCTCCTCGACGTCAACAAAGCCCACGGCGGCCCTAGGAAAGGCCTGGCCCTGGTGAAGGAAAGCCTTTAGGGATGCACAGAATTGCAAGGCCATGACTAGTGGGGAGGCTTTTTGACTGTCCACTAATATCTCCAGAACAGAAAATATGTCTTAAGACTCCAAATCCGAGCCTCTGCATTCCTCCTTCCCTCCAGCCTTGGCACGACTAAGCGGCCTCAGCCTCCCTGCCCCCTCTCCCGCCCCCGCTGCTTCAAACAACCACGCCCCGTGGCCCCAGGGCTCGCTGCCCTGGGGCTCGCAGCCCCCGTGCGAGCCGGTACGCCGCGCCTCTGTTCGCCCCGCCCCCGCGCGCCCCCATCCGCCCCCGCGGCCGGCCCTGGGAGCGCCTGGCCAGACCTCGCGCCTGCGCCTCGCCAACTTCCTGCCGCGGAACACCCCGCCCACCCCCAGAAGCCCGCCCCCAAACGCCGCGTGAGACCCGCCCCCCTCAAAACATTGGTCGAGATGGGGGAGCCGTTGGCTCCCAGGCCCGCCTCTCTGCCGCCTCTCACTTTTCCCAGGGCGGGTGCGCCTGCGCTCAGCTGCCTGGGCGGGCTGAGAGGCGCGGGTTGAAAAGTCTCGTTCCAAGTTTGGAGAGAGCGAGAAGAGCGCCTCAGACCTCGGTACCTGCGAGCGTGAGGAAGCAGAGAAGAAGGACGCGGTGTTTGTGGAGCACCCAGGCGGCAGGCCGGAGCTCAGGCTTCGAAGGCTCGAAGTGCGTGACGCGCCTGGGAAAGGCAGGAACGTCTGCAGCCGGGCTGCTCTTGCTTAGTGAGGGGAGTCCGAGGCAGCGGCGAGGGGCGAAAGACCCGACGCAAGATGGCGAGTAAAGAGAGTAAGAGGCCCTGCGGGGCGGCGCGC